GTAGCGTGGGCAGGCCTCCTACTAGGTGGACCGAAGATCTGGTAAAGGTCGCGGGAAGAGCCTGGATGCGGGGAGCGCAGGACCATTCATTGCGGAAAACCTTGAGGGAGGCCTTTGTCCAGCTGTGGACGTTATTTGGCTGAAACGAACTAACGAACGAACTTTTTCAGGAATGATATGTTGCTTTTCTTTTGCTATTCTTTTTGGGTGGCGTAAAACAGACAGAGTGGAGATTCTTTATTTCGCATGCTCACTTAGGGTAGCTGCGCCATCGTATTTAGTTACATTAATTTGCTATCCTTCCTCTCTTTATACTGATTTCGAGTTATGTTCAGTTTAAATCCTTCCTTCTGATTCTGATCTCCATACACTTGAATGATGAGTGTATGTGGATATAAGTAAGAGGTAAATGTAACATTCCTCTACTTCTTCTTTAGGAAAAAAGAAACCGAGTTTTCATTTATGGTTTCTAATTTATTATCATAATTTACTATAAGTGTTAATTACAAGTAACAACCATTTGCAAAAGCATTCATCAAAGATTCTCAATACGCAGAAAACCATAACTCTTTAGCCGGATCGGACATTTACAAGACTTGTTTACTATAGTGAACGTTACATATAATGATAGTGTGCGTGTGTGGGTAGTCGGGCAATTTGTTCAATAGTCACTAACGAGAGACGCGGAACATACGAAGACTGGCGCTTTCATAACCGCGCGTACAAATTAGGAGATATAGCGACAATCGAAGCTAGTAAATCATAACATTTTGTCATTGCAAATGGAGAGTCTATACAAATTAATTTCACAACATATAACCCTGTAAGGGCAGTACAACTATAGGTTTATAATATACCTAATTGTAATAGATTGGTCAGTTTTTACTTGAGTAGTACTCATTTGCCTACAAGCGAAAGGTTTAATTACTGATCGTCTGATACGTTCTCTAGGGATTTTTTTAATTTTTACGCTATGGGAAAACTTATGTAATTTATGAAAAAATACTATCATCATTATAATCGTCATCAGGTGATTTAGTTTCCACTGCAGGAACACGACCTTCTCTAATTAGCATATGGAGTAGGTATTGGCCGAGACTTTCCAGGCGGGTTGGGCGAATATTTATTTATTTATTTTATTTATTTACACTTCAGCACACAAAGTAACAAATGCACTGTGGCGGACTTAATGCCGGATGGCATTCTCTGCCAGTCAACCACGGGTCATGCAGAAAGAGTAAGGCGGTGCAAAAAATTAACATTTTTGATAATAAACCTACTTACATAAGATTACATAAAATAAATAACATAATACAAATAAATATAATAGACATACACAATAGAATAGGGATCGATTTATTCCACATTCATATCAGGTAGGGTTTTTAGGCTGGTTTTAATGTCACGGGGACCGTTCGGTGCGGACCCTCTCCGCACGGCCAATCTGTATGAACTTCTAGGGAGCGTTTTAGAGTAATGCGGTCCGGAGGAACCGCTCCGCCGCTCCCTAGCAGTTCAAAAAATCGGCTGTGCGGAGCGATCCGCACTGACAGTCCGCTTGACACTAAAACCAGCCTTTGGCCTTATAAAATTAATGCTATTTTTTCTAAAAAACAATGAGCTAGTATCTTGTACCGCACTTTGTAATTGTTACCCAGAGCGTTTAATTGAGCCTAGCGGTGGCGTGAATAGAGCTGATAGTGCTTGTACTTGATACCATCGGTACTACCGGCGCGGGCGCACCGTGTGAGAACACCGCGATTCCAGTTGCAGATTGTGCATGTGTTGCAGTTCAGGCTTCTGTATGGTGTGTAATATTTGCAGAAGCATCTATGGATGCGGGCAGCGCAGGAATGTTTTGTAGACATTCTTGGGGGAGATTCTTAGGCCCAGCAGATAATGTCATTGGGCTGAAAATGTCACATTTACGAAAGATAGAGTTCTTTTTTAAATAAATTTGTATTGTGTTCAACATGACCTTTCTGGAGTCTAATGCCCGTATTCACAAACATTACTATGAGGTCTCACAGTGCGCATGAACGCACAGGGTGACAAATGAACCAATCACAGAGCTCTATTCAATGCGTTCGATTTGCTGCTTTATTTAAGCAAGTATCATTTGTGAATACGTTGTTATTCTCAGAATTCAGTATTATTATTGTGATAGTTTCAGAGTGGGTTTCATTCACTGAAATTCGAGAATGTTGAAGAATTCTCTTTCTCTGAAATTCCAAGGACACTAGAGGAGGCAGAGAATGTAACTGCACGTGCTAGAACAGTACATGACAGGTACAAACGTACAGGTGACGGCAAACTATGTTGCATCTTATGTCATCGTGATAGTTGATGTTTTGCAACAAAACTATGCTGTCGACTGTACATTAGAAATACACGCGTGAATAATTCATTATATCACAATAAATCAGCCTCAAAGCCATTCATGTTCGTATGAAGTGATTATAATAATAACAACACCTTTTGATCTTAGAAAACTTTGTTATTTAATCGATTAGCGAAGCGATTAGCCTTTGAAGTAAAAATGATAACGCTTTTTTGATAATTTCACTTGTGCATAGTGGTAAATAATTTGGATCTTAAGAAAGTGGTATTTTACGTAAAAATGTAGTCTCATGAGCTGACGACTGTAAGTAGAGGTACATAAATCATCAGATTATCTGAAAAATACAGGGTGTCCCAAAATGGGCGAATCAAACTGATATACTTCATATTATGGCCATATTTTTATAACAATTATTTTACTTGGGAGTTCAGAGCACTAAATTAGTTTTTTTTTCTGTACCTATTAACATTTTGGTGGCCATGTGCTTATTTTTTTTTAATGAAGTGGCAGTGGGCGCGGCACATAGCTCGTAAAGACGCTGGCCGTTGGGGCAAAAAAGTTCTCGAGTGGCGACCACGGGCTGGAAGACGTAGCGTGGGCAGACCTCTACTAGGTGGACCGACGATTTGGTAAAGGTCGCGCGAATAGCCTGGGGGAGGCCTTTGTCCAGCAGTGGCTGAAACGAACGTCTATACATGGAAGTTCAGAGCACTTTATTATTATTTTTTTCTGTACCTACTAAAATTTTGGTGGCCATGTGCTTAATTTTTTTTATATTTTTAACGAGGTCAAGACAATTCCTATAGCAGATTGATTCACCCATTCTAGGATACCCTGTATATCACATGCACCTTGCTAATTAAAGCCTAGTGTAATTTTTTCAAAGCATACCGACGCCATGGCCGGATCCGACTCCAATGCTGGTGGGAGGACAATTACAGAGTGTGCAAACATTTGAGCCCATCTGAACGGGTAATTAATGATTGTTGCTACAAAAACAATGTTCGAACACTTAGCGAGGACCTGTCCTTTTTGCGGTGACCACAAGTTTGGTGAGACTCCTTTATCGACGGCTTAGAGTGAAAACCTCTTAAGTGCAAAAGAAATATTTTTTCAAGAGGAAGATTCAAACTGTCATATATTCTGTAAGATTGACCATTGTCATCATCATCATTATTTCAGCCATAGGACGTCCACTGCTGAACATAGGCCTCCCCCAATGATTTCCATGTTGCCCGGTTGGTGACGGCCTGCATGCGGAAGATTTCACTCTAGGCGACGCGGCGACGTTATGTATAAAAAATCAATAAATACTTTTATAATATTTTGTTACATTAATCTTTCTATGATGAAGAGGATAAAAACTTGGCATGGGAATCAGGATTTGAGGGAGAAAGAGTATCTACGAAGTCCTTTTTATTGCAAATAAATAGTGTTATAGTGGTGGCAAAGTTGCAAGGAAAATTATTTTTGAGTGTAAGTTTTTGACATAGGCAAACTGTCAATGCTTTACAGTATGCAATTTTTCATCTTTGGCTGGGTACGAGTATATCTATCTCGTAAAGATCTTTTTCTATATTGTCACTTGCCAATAAAAGAGAGTGTAGACTGCTACCATGGTTACCCTACCTAAACGTTGGAAGGATAACGCTTTGTTGAACGAACGTGGGTTACGAAATGATGAATGGTTTTTGGCTTATAGCCACTTAATTAATTGCTCAGCTATAATGGCGTATTCGTCTTCGCTAGAAGATGAGTTTCTTCTAAATATGTGTTTTCAAATTGTAAAGTTCATTTGGAAATACAAAAGTACGAATGCAATAATTCTTTGTAAATTGTGAATGTTCAAATGCGCACGCAAATGACTTCCTTTTTCTCGTTGCAGATGGGGGTAGGTAATTGGCTTCCCTGCATTGTTATTATTTTGCAAAACTGACTTAATGGAGGCAATGTGCGCTTTTTAACTGGACAATGCTGTTTCAAGTCGCACTGGAAGTTGGTTATTCTTTTAAATTATTCATATTATCAGTATTCAAATTAGGCATTTTCTTTTCAGGAAGATTCTGCTGTTCAGTTACAGCGAGCCAATTTCGCCATCGTGCAAGTTTTAGCTAAGTATTAGAAAACATCAAGATGTGCTTTTATAGAAAGTATCACTGATAGGCCAATAAAACCCAGAAAAAAGTACTTATCGTCAGTAAATTTTGAAAAAAGATTTCACCATTTCAATTTTTCACTTTCATCAAGTAGAAAAAAGTAAATGTACTAAGGGGCCGTCCATAAATTACGTCATCGATTTTTTCAGATTTTAGACCCCCCCCCCCTACAATCATCCTAGCGTCATTTCTTAATGATCCCCCCCCCCTTCTCCCAAAATTGACGTCATTACCAGTTTGACAAAATTANCTGTTGCCTCCCTGACCCTACCTATAATGGCTGAGGCGAAAATATATGAAAAATAATACAAAACATTCAGAATTGATCTACTACTGGATAGTAGGTATTTTTTAGTTTAATCATTTTTTTAAAACTAAAACAAAGAACTCTTGGCCTCCATCTCACTTGATGGAAAGTGATAATCAGCCAAAAAAACGCATAATATGGTTGAATTAGAAACCTCCTCCTTTTTTTATGGGATATAGTAAATTAAATATGAAAATTACCTATTATCGTCTGCGGGCAGCGCGCCCGCCCGGTGTATGAACGTGAGACAGCGCGCCGCGCCCATCGCCACCGGCAGCGGTTTGTCGCGCGACACTAGCGCCGTCAGCAACTCTGGGATTGTCTTGTCGCCGTGTCTGTAAAGAAAACGAGAAAGTTAGTTTACCAGACGAATTAGCACCCTGTAAATGTAGATATAGGGCAGGTTTTGGAGCAATAACATGGGTTTTTGGTCAGTAAAATGATCAATGTTTCGTCGTAGTACCTGGGACATTAGATTTAGTTTGCTACCGACGTTAGCACTCAGTCCCGGTGTAGGGAGGATTTTAGACAGCAGTTTGAAACTGAGTTTGATTATATGGCAGAGTCAGAGAAACCGGACGTACGCGCAACAAAATGTGAAGAAGCAATTTTGAATATACTTTGTTTTGAAACAAAAGACAAAGAGTATTTACTTTGTCCATTTTATGGTCCTCGACAGTGTTGGTTTTCTGGCAAACATCCCAATTCATTTACAGTAATTATTACAGTCAGGTCAACATTACTATGTGAAATGCAAAACAAGAGTTTATGCTTCAATGTAGGTATGTACCTATATCAGAATACTTTTACACATCCCAAACAAAGCTTCAAAATTACTAAGCTAAGCCAAAGTAGAAAGTTTAAGGCGAGCAGAGCCCTCACCGCAACCTGTAGTGTGCTGTAATGACTGTACCTCGTGTTCAGAGCCACTTGTGACACGTTGGCATTCTCGAAGCACATCGCAGCTAGTAGATCCAAGGCGGGCAGAGCCCTGGCGGGCGGCGAGTGGTCGCTGCGCGTGGGCCCGTGCAAAACTAGCGATTATAAGGCGAGCAGAACCCTCACCGCAACCTGTAGTTGCTATAATGACTATACCTCGTGTTCAGAGCCACTTGTGACACGTTGGCATTCTCGAAGCACATCGCAGCTAGTAGATCCAACGCGGGCAGAGCCCTGGCCGGCGGCGGGTGTTCGTTGCCCGTGGGCCCGTACAAGCTAGCAAGTATAAGGCGAGCAGAGCCCTCACCGCAACCTGTAGTGTGCTATAGTGACTATACCTCGTGTTCAGAGCAACTTGTGACACGTTGGCATTCTCGAAGCACATCGCAGCTAGTAGATCCAACGCGGGCAGAGCCCTGGCCGGCGGCGGGTGGTCGCTGCGCGTGGGCCCGTGCAAGCTAGCAAGTATAAGGCGAGCAGAGCCCTCACCGTAACCTGTAGTGTGCTATAATGACTGTACCTTGTGTTCAGAGCCACTTGTGACACGTTGGCGTTCTCGAAGCACATCGCAGCTAGTAGATCCAAGGCGGGCAGAGCCCTGGTGGGCGGCGGGTGGTCGCTGCGCGTGGGCCCGTGCAAGCTAGCAAATAAGGCGAGCAGAGCCCTCACCGCAACCTGTAGTTGCTATAATGACTATACCTCTTGTTCAGAGCAACTTGTGACACGTTGGCATTCTCGAAGCACATCGCAGCTAGTAGATCCAAGGCGGGCAGGGCCCTGGCAGGCGGCGGGTGGTCGCTGCGCGTGGGCCCGTGCAAGCTAGAAAATAAGGCGAGCAGAGCCCTCACCGCAACCTGTAGTGTGCTGTAATGACTATACCTCGTGTTCAGAGCCACTTGTGACACGTTGGCATTCTCGAAGCACATCGCAGCTAGTAGATCCAAAGCGGGCAGAGCCCTGGCCGGCGGCGGGTGGTCGCTGCGCGTGGGCCCGGCCGCCAGAGCCGCCGCCGCCGCCGCGCAGGCGCCGGCCGCGCAAAGCGCCTCTTGCTCGCGCGCGCCGCCGCACCATATGGACAGGATGCGGACTACGCACGCGCGGGCTGTTGGCGAGCCTTCGCGGGCTATTTCTAGTGACACAAATACGTCATAATGAATGTATGTTCGAACCAAATCAATGTTTTTCTAATAAACAGAATGAGGGAACGAACGTCGGTCAACAGTCGCGGGCTATGTCTGTAAATACCATGGTCAACAACTATAAAATTCATACAAAAAGCATTCATAAAATTGACAGAATGCAGACGACGCGCGCAAATGTATGCTGTCGGCGAACATTCTCTGGCAATACAGAAATGGTCATAAATTAGCAAAATAAATATAAATATTGTAGTTCTGTTCTTTAATCACCAAATGTGCCATAATCGGTGAATTTTTATACAATGTTGTATGGAAGCTTAAAGTTCAAGTTTTTATTGTTATTACCAGAAAAGATAACAGCAATACATTGCAAACTGGAGTCTTATAGTATCTTTTAGTATGCTCATACAGCCAATATCATCAATGATAATGACCTAAGTTCAATACTATTAACAATGTTTCTAGAGAAATATAAACTTAAATATTAGAATTTAGTGTATTTTAATGTAAACTTACGTGTCAGTCTGGTGAGTAGCCTCATATCTGCTGGCAGAGACGAGATTGGGGCAGGTGGGTGAAGAAATATGCTTCTTAACGCACATAGAGCTGCCTCAGCGAGTTTTGTTTCTACTGGCACTGTCTTAAGCACCTCCACAAGTGCTGTGGCTGTGCCTTGCTCTACCAGGGAGGTCACATTCTCTGGTGTGCCTTTGGCTAAAGATCCTTTCAAAGTAAAATAATAAATATGTAAGTGTTGATGTTATTATTATTAATTTTGAAAGACTTAATAGGACCTCATTTAGTAACAAATTACTGTTATCATACAAAAAACACTTGTGTTTAGATTTGCATTGTATAGATCTGAAGTTGCAGCAAGTAAAAACTTAAGTTATGTAAATAAAAATAAATAAACAGGCATAATTATCTTGAGTCAATATTACGAATGAATATAGTATGATTACCTATTGTGATAGTGGCTTCCAGTCGGATATTTGGGTCCAGAGTGTCATCAGACATGAGCTGGAGCAGTCGGGGTACGACTCCTTGCTGGATCACAGAACTCTTCTGCCGGTTGCTCCCGATCACAGAGTTCTTCAGCGTCACCAAGGCTTCCACGATCTTGCCGCTGTCCGGCGAGTACAACTCGTCGATATACGACCGAGAGCTTTCAATATCCTTACAGACAAACGTTTATAGGTTACCTGACGTGATATAAAAATCCACTCGCCTACATTTATTATCAATATTTACATTTACACTTACCATGAACACTGTTAGCTGCTGCATTGTATTGTATGAGATTTACGCAGCAATAATGGTAAAAATATCTTTTCAAAATTCCTCCGAGGCCGAATACGCTGTCAGTACATAAACTGTCATTTGTAACTTGTGTTTCGTTCGGAAATTAACGTGCCAAATAATTCATTGAATGATTGAATTCATTTTCTCAGTCAATTGAATTGTTACACAAGCCCAACCCTAGCTAATTGAAGAATTTCGAAAAAAAAAAACACCGTCATAGACAATATTTAATTTGACAGCGACAGCTGACGCCTGTGTTGATTTTTGTTGACAGACAACTCTAGAAATTGTGTGATATTTTTCTATTCGAAATCCAGGAAATTGTAACATGATATTTTGTTAAAAACAGTGAAACAACCATGGCAGACTCTGGAGTAGATACAAGCAATGAAAGCAGCGACAACCCAATATTTGATCACTCCCAGTGTACATTGGAGTTCAATCCCCCAGCAATACCGATCAACCAAGTAGGCCAGGCTATGCCCGTGGAGTTTTTTGGTGAACCACATGACCATATCGGTAAGATAAAGTGCTCTACAAAGGCAAGACACTGCAGACTGAACTATCGTTACGGAGGAGCCGCTTGGAGAAATCAAAAACTGCGCTTCGCTGCGGGAACAAACAACACAGAACTTGTCGAGAAACTTTTACTTTCTGGAGCGGAGCCCAATTCGTCGGATGAATTTAAAAGGAGTCCACTTCACTTAGCTGCTTGCAGAGGATATGTAGATGTGGTTAGGGTACTCCTGAGACATGGTGCTAACCCTAATATAAAAGATACTCTGGGGAATACACCCCTTCATCTTGCTGCGTGCACGAATCACATACCAGTTGTAATAGAATTGCTCGATGCTGGCACTGATGTCAGTTCCAACGACAAGAATGGTCGCAACCCAATACAGCTGGCTCAAAGCAAGCTGAAACTGATTCAAATGCGTCCCAGCGGTGCTGGGCATTTTGAGGAGACTAGGCAGCTTATCGGCGAGATTTGTTTGGTTGTTGAAATGATGCTGAAGTATATGAAGATCCAGAAAGCCGATGCGGGAGAACTGGAGTCGGTGCGGCTGAGACTGGAGCAGGTCAGCACCCGGGAACAAGTTGACTCCGAAGTACAAAACCTACTCGACAGTCTTGACTGTCTAAAGCTGAGATAACTTTGTTGAACTTTGTGATTGTTTGCATTACTAGGTAGATAAATATATTTTAAAGACTGTTCATATTTGTAACTGCCTATTTATAAGAGTTCACAATTTATTAGTATGTAAGAAAGAACTAGTTTAAGTTCTCACTAAAATTTTATTCATTGTAAGTTTCAAGGGTTTGATTTAAAAGTTATATGCACTAAGACAAATGTTATGCTTATTGCTAGAATAAGCACATGTCAATTTGACTTAGCATTTTACTGACCCTTTAGAATTTTAAGTAAATGGTTTTAGGCAGAAAATAGTTTTATTGTCTCATTGTAAGAAACACATCTAATCACATGTTGATTTCGCATAATAAAGATTTTTGATTCGCATTACTTGTTTTATTTTGTTAAAAATACAAAGAATGAAATGTATAATAATTTATTAACAACTTCATAAACTTTTATTTACAATAATACATTGCATTATTAAAATTTCACTATGACATGTTTTGATAAGAATTATTAATATGTCCACAAGAATTATTAAAAGCCCAGAATAAGTCTTTGACAACCATGGAATGTAGGCTACTATACAACATGAGCAAGAATACATCCTAATACATACTCAATTAATAAACATTCTTAAAATAAAATAATTATATTACCTGGAAATATAATTTGTGCAAAACTATTGTGGTATGTTAACTTACATTGTTTATGTGCAAAATTGCCATCATGTGAATTGTACATGGTTTTGGGCAACCATTGCTTCAGTGGAACAGAATAAAATAGATATTTATATCCAGGAGGGAATGTGTTCTTTCAGTCATGCTCCAAAGGCAATGGAAACCTTTTTACCTCATAAACTAAACTATTATATTACAATATGTACATTGTAGTATATGTGTAACACAATTGTCTATTAGCAGAATATATTAGCTCCAAAAAATAAACTTATCACATCTCAAAAACATTAAGCATAAAAAACACATTAGGCAATAACCGGGGTTTTACTATTGTTGCACTTGATACTTGCAAATGGACTTTATGGCAGAAATCATGAATTATCACAGAAGGATTAAAAATAATTGTCTATTATCATATTAATTAATACTGCTAGTTATAGCCCGACCAAAATCACCATACTTTAAAATAAAACTGCTGTTACACCCCACGGGACCAACCTGACGATGCCAGGCAATACTTAGTCATAAGTACTAAAAATGGACCCAACCCACTATACATAAAACTAAATTCAAACTAACATAAATATTATTTCTTAGCGGCAAGTTTAAGAGTTTAAAGGCTCATCCAAAGTATTAAATCAATTGTAATGTAAATTTATTGCTTCAAGCTACTGTTTAATAAATTAGTTAATAACAAGTAGGAATAATGTACTCATATTATGTCCCGCTTGAGCAAATACCCATACGTACACAATCAATTCCTAATTTTGTAAACATAATATGTCAACAAGTGAATACTTTATAGTGCAAAATATTTGGCACTTCTTCATATTAAAAACCTTTCAAAGCTTGACTAGTTTACTAAACAAATATTTTCGAAAACTAAATAACTTACAAAATTATTATCACATTCATATAATTATTGAACCAATTAACGAATAATTTTGTTGATATTGTAATTTAAATCTAAAATAATCACATATAAGGAATGATAAATTCAATTCTGTGATATTGCGATTACTTTGGTAAATAGATAATTTAGATATCATCTGGCACAACCATAATTTTACACCTGAAATGATATTTCCGTCTTATTGCACATTTGCACTTTAGTCGGCTCGGTTTTGTTTCAACTAACTAAATCAGACGGTTTGAGAATAATCCGCGTTTAATTAAATAAAACGGTTTGGAGTTATTCGTTATTTAGTATCCGGGACCAGTACATTAACTATGTTAGGGAATATTTCGGCTTGGATGGGGCCGTACTCGACGACCTCGCCGTCGACCGCGAGGTTACCCTCCGACCCTTCAGGAACTATTCTAAATGCGCTGACGGGGACCATTTTGATGTATTCGCTGTCGATCTCCGCGTGCGTTCCGCTCTCGGCGTTCAAGAGGAACGACAGGAGCTGCGAGCGCCTGACCCCCGACTTGATTATGAGCATCCACATCACGCCGTCGGACAGCTGCGACCGCGGGGCGAAGAAGAAGTCCTCGCCGATGTAGGACTGATATGACACGTGGACCAATACGAATTCGCCCTCCTCGTGCACCCAGTGGGAGGGCAGTTGTGACATGAGCGACGGCAGATGCGACGCGGGCCCGTGCATGCAGGCGTGAACCGGCGACCGCATCTCGGAGCCTTCGCTGGTGACGCTGTGGTACTCAGACCCGCGTGTGCTGTAAAACGCGCTCCGACGCGAATTGACGGAGTACCATGAATCTACTCTCTGATGCTTACCGTTCACGGCGCTCGTGAACACTTCCGCGTGGTCGTCGCAGTCGATAAACGCTTCCGCGTCGGGGGAATCGAGCGCGCCGTCCTGGCTTATGCTGTGGCTCAGGGTGAACGGTTGCTTCGGCTTGGGTAGATTGCTCACATCCTTTATTTTCGCGTAGCTCAGTACGCCTCTGTACCTTCTCAGGCCGACCAGCCTGGCTACGGCCCAGATCGCGAACCTTTGGGAGCCGATGGCCCGTAGTCTTTCGCTCTCGATATCGATGTCAGCGAGTAGGCCCCAACCGACGGAGAGGAAGGAGAACATGATCTGAAATAGAAAATGTAAAGTGATTAGATGGAATCAGTGCATGCTGTGGTAATTGCTTATAAATAAGGTAATCACGAGGTTGCATATCGTTAAAGTTCGTCTACCTGACCTGGCATAGTGATTCATTATCCATTGAGTAGTCGATAAGTGCCCTAGTAGATGCTACTACTGTGGAACAGAGCACTTACGTACGAGGCTAATCGTATCCGCGATCCGAGCGCGTTTATTGACGGACATGCTCAATTGAATAGTGTAATACAAATCTGTATTATTAGCAGGATGCATTTATGATTCTTTTCTAGAGTAGAGCAGTCGGTTAACCTTATGTAACAATCCTATCCTATTATCACAGATAAATCTAGAATTGTTCATCATCTCTAAACTACACACATTTTAAGCGTTCTCCTTTGGAAACGGATTGTTATTATATTTTAGGCTTATTAATTAGTTTTACCGGCCAAATTGAGTAAATTAAACAATTTAAAATTGTGTTTGTGTAACTACTGAAAAACATGGTTCAAATTACATAGATCATCAAAAAAATGCAGACGTCATAAAATAGGTACATGACTTGCGTTTCAATTCCGCTGTCTTGAACTTAATTAATAACACTATACATTTTCCTGCTGCGTATGAGTAGGTATGGCATATCACTTCCTGTCCATATTATGACTATACCTAAGGATTATGTAATACATAATGATCAACACATCTAACGGCATTTCTGATCGAAGTTATTGACCGATGACTTACCTATCTTACGTAGGTATTCAAGTTTTACCTTAAGACACTGTCCGTTTTCACCATCAATCCCTAATTTTTATGTGACACCTATGGTAACATTTAACAGGAATTTTGTTTTCATAGGGGTCACTTGAAAATTAGGGATTGATGGTGAAAACGGGCATAATAAAATTAAGCATAGCAATACAAGAACAACGGGGTTTGAAGAAGACCGTCCCATTCGCATTCAAAAATATTTTTTGAATTCGAGAGGAAATTCGAATGGAACGGTCTGCTTCAAACCCAAACAGCACGGATTATTACAGGAGTTTAAGTTATAATAACAGTTGACATTTGTTTTGAAAACTATGAAGAGAAGAGGATAGCCTCGTAGCGCCCACGGATTTTTTGGATCGTCTTTAACTACGACCCGACCGTCCTTCTTATAGGACTTATAGTTATAGTCCTATCAGCCCAAGATTTTGAGTTGAAATTCGTATGTGTTAGAGTTACCGGTTTGAAGTGAAACTTTCAGGGTATAATTATGATTATATTAGCATGTGTTTTTAAATTCAATTATTTGTCTACCTTTTGTTCTTTACAAAGGCCATCGGGCCACAAATTCTAGATTAAAAGGTAGTATTAAGTGATGTAAAATTAAATAATACAAAAAATTAGTAGTGTAAAGAGTATTAAATTAATAATAATAATAAATACAATAAATATTTTTGAACAATTTCACACATAACGCTATCTAGCCCCATAGTAAGCAATTAATATGCTTGTGTTATGGGTGCTCGCTTAACGGATATACTACATTATATACATTTTAAATACATACATATTATACTAGTAACACCCAGACCCATCACAGAAATTAAAATTCATCATTTCACCAACCCCCCCCCCCCCCAATTTAGAATGACGTAATATATAGACGGCCCCTAATGCATTATAGGCCTGCTACATCCTGATACAGTAAAATGTATTAAGATATTACTTATGCAAATAGAAGAATAAATAAGTGAGTAATTTTAATTTATCCTTGGCAATGACGGCATGGCTGCCTCAAGCGATGTGATGTCACAACACTTGAGCGACATATTAATATAGTTGAAGCTTGTGGAATGTAGATTTAAAGGGTCGTAATTTTTCTTGAAGCTCATAATTACGTAGGCTTCAACAACTTCATTTGTACTGAGCGATTATTTTTAATCACTTGAGTAATTTTTAATTTCCAACCCCTCTTTTACTTATATTTCATGTGTATGAGTAAGTACACTTAGCCTAGGCACAGACCACCGACTTTTAGGATCGTCAAAAATCTGTCAAACTCCATACAAAATACAACGGTTATCGTCATAGTTACGGTCAAAGTTAGGCGGTGCAACTCAGCCTTAGTTGGCCGATAGTTGGGCCCGATTCAATTTGTATAAAGAATCGGTCGATACCAAATCGGTGTATTGTGCGCACTTCATACGTATGTCCATACTGATTTTATCAGCCCGACTAAACTATCGACCAACTAAAAGTCGGTGGTCTGCGCCTAGGCTAAGCTTAAAATTGAAAAGTTTTGATTGTAAGTAAATGTTCTTTTCTTCCTTTAATTCGTATTACTTACTAATTTCTTAACCAAAGAGGTAGGTATATGTGTCAGATTTTATGAGCTTTCAAACTAGACTTAAAATAAAATGACCAAAAGCTTTATTCAATCATAATTCTCAGAAAGCCATAACGTTTCATTGTCAGCCTTTAGCTCCCCATCACGACTGCTGCCAAATTCTTTGTAGCTAATCAAATATTCTGTGTCTGTCTGTGTATTAAATCTACGAGTATATGTATATGTAGTTAATTCTCCAGAATGCTAACGGCGGTCCTATAGTATTTGAGGCACGCACGAGGAAAACAAGCTGTCAAGGTCTGACGAAATTTGTCATTCAGCCGGGCGGTGCCCGTGCGCAAACGCCATTTGGCGTCGAGGATTTCCTTCTGGGGCATACTGGGAGAGATGATATTTTTATTTCTTCCTTTTTTTATTAATGTTCCAGTGGAGTAGGTAGGCAAAATGTGTTTAGAAATGTAGGTGCTCTTTGTTTATTTACTTCCATCTTTTTTATGTTTGCTTGTCTCTAGAGTTACATGAATCAATTACCAGTCATCGACACACCTTGATAACTTATTGGAGTGATGTTTTCCTAATATCATAGTAACGAATAAGTATGGTAGGTATAACCGAATTATTAAAGCTATAAAACAATAACATCAAAATAAACTTTTTGTAATTTTTTGTCTCATGTACTAGTGGTCATGTCACTAGAACGTATAGTTTCCGAGGATTAAGCAAAAAACCGAAAAGTGGTACCTTTAAACCCCCCTCACCCCGCCGGCTCAAGTGCTAAGAGCGGGGACTTTTGGTGTGTTCACCTCCTAACTAGTCTAAATAAAGTCCCGAAGTCAGAAATTGTGTTCCATGGATTTCCATCTAAAATGTTTTATTGACTGGACTATAAAAAATCTCAAACACTTAGAAAATCTACTAACCCGTATCAGTTTTCAAAATTCCCAGTCATGTCATTGTCATTACGTATAATTTTATCTAAACCTAGATCTTAATGCGGTCTACATCTGTTAACACTTAACATTGGCTTTCAATTACCATTAGCAGGTCCGTTAACACCATGCCATTCACAAATAAGTGGAATACAGTAGGCTCTTCTGCTGCTACTGTATTAGATACGAGCTACAGACGATGGTATATCAAGCTATACATTGTGGCGTCTTATAATAATATTGTTGTAATCCAGGTTCTTCTCGCGATCTTCACCAAATCGTCGGTCCACCTAGTAGAAGGCCTGCCTACGCTACGTCTTCCAGCCCGTGGTTGCCACTTGAGAACTTTTCTGTCCCAACGTCCATCGTCTCTACGGGCTATGTGCCCTGGATGCTGGGAGCTGGATGTGGGCAGCGCATCACCGGTCGTTATGGAACGCTTTGGGGGAGGCCTTTGTCCAGCAGTGGACGTCATTTGAAACTAACGAACGAACGATATTGTTGTAATTAATATGTGCTATTTTGTGATTGGAATGTCTAGTCTGATGTGCTCTATAATCCTTTTCCAATTGACATAGTCATCTATTTTGTACAGTAGACCATTTGATAATGAGAGAGTTGGTGAGTGCGAGGTAGAGGTCTATTAGTCCACAATAACTCTGGTAGATAGCTAATGTATTTCCTCCATAAAAATTAATCCGAAACAATGATTTGCTGGTTTGAGGGAATATTTACAAGCTGTATTATTTCTACTGGTATTGACTTAAGTAGACCAAAATAACTTGCCAATTGTTTTCACGAATCCAGCGATTACAGTCCAAAAATAATTTACCAACTATCATTAGCGGTGAGTAAGCCCACTGTGCAGACTTTAATGCGAGCTTGATTAGAACGAGCAAAAACATGCGCTCAGTGTGTCACGACACAATAAGGAAGGGGCATCACACGTCGCTCACCGAAAATCGTTCGCGGTCTGCGTTGTGAATTTTAGAGAGGCTTCCTAGTTCCTTGTAATAGCCAGGGTCGTGCGAAAACGTTGTCGAAGTCGAACGCTTCTGAAATAGGCCCCATGCGGATGTCAATAGTACACGCGAGAATATGTATCATTGGCCAGTATTTTTGACCTTATTTTCTTTAGCTTTGTTACGACTCGCTCGTGACTGTGCGTGAGGATTATTTGTAGCGGATGACATCAATGTTTTGCCGTTTAATTACATTTGGTTATTAAATTTTATCGCTTAATGTAATTGGAGATCCGCTATTACTTTTGTGTTTTGGTTTTTTATTCAGGTGACGTGAATTAAAATAATTCCACAGGTTTTGCTCCGGTTGAAGGATGGAAATGATTGTTTTGTTTTTGTGATTTGGGTCATTATCACCTCGCCTAATTCTTGTTGTGTTTTGGCAGTTGGAAGTAGGTAAGATGTAGAACTTCCGTCTTAATTGTTTATTTACTTAACCTACTGGGAGCCACGAAAATCAATCTTTTTCCTTTGAAAAAATAGAGATAATTGCAAAAAAGAACTTTTCAGTGTCTACGTTCAACTGAACTGTAGTAGGTAATATGCACAAGTTACTGATTTTTTTAGAGCAGACGGGGGCCGCGACTTTAGATCGGGGGGCCCAATGGGAAAGAACGGCCTTACCACTGTCCATTGACATTTAGAACAATAAGAGAGTAAATCAAGATAATATTGCCTACCTTTTTTAGAATGTCGTATTATTGGAAAAGTGGTTGATGTATTTCACTTTACCAAATC